TTGAGTGCTTTAAAAGGGTCATGAACCAGTTTTATGGACAATCGCTGAATGACCTCATCATTGGAGTTTATTGCCAGTGAGTCAATAGCCAAAAAAAAATTTTAACCGTCCAAGATCCAGGGGTTTATTGTGCACTTTAAAAGGCCACTAAAGGCAGATAACAATTTCTGTAAGAGTGAAAGATAAATGTTTTAGAACATCTAAAACATCAATATTATCAACAGCAGTGTTCTACTTAACAAAAAATTAAGTAAATGTTCATGACACCATATGCACCACAAGTGGGATACTATCAAGTGATCTCGATAAGGTCAAGAGTCAATAAAACCAGTTCCAATTAAAAATCTTGTGTGCATGATAGCCTGTAATAAAATTTTACTTGTCTGTTTCAGTTCAATTCATAGAAAAAAAATGCTTTGCATTACCGTGCGGAACGGTGCACATAGTTAAAAAGTTCCATTTCCACCAAACTGCACTTGGTGGAAATAAAACATGATCTAATTTCAATATAAGCATTTCCTTGGCACAAAAGTAGCACTATGAGATTTTTAGACCGTTATTTAAACAATCAACATAATTTTGTCTATAACGATGCCCTGTGATCTTTCATCAGTTCTTCTGGTGCTGTGGATATTGCTGCGCACATGGTAACCCCGAAATTGACTCGGTTATAATTTTAATTCACGAGACAAACTACCTTGATTTCAAACTATAGCGACACACATTGGCCATTTTTGTTATGGGAAGTGACGTGTCATGTGGCATGACGACAAACACCGTTCGCTTTTTATTGGCATGATACGAGAGATAGCGTTCATATTCATATGGTGGTAGCTAGGACATACAAGTGAATGCTAAAACAGCAACAACCTTTCCTATACTTTCTCAGAAAGAAAGAATTCCTGTTTCTAAATGACGTATTTTCAGAACAACGAACACAACAGTTAGCCTTCGATTGAGGCTACGGTATGCTTGCAACTAAAATTGAAAATGCATGCAGCACTTTTAACGGCCCAAAAATACAACAGGCGGTGGGTGCCGGCGTTGCCGTAGAACGCGTCTTGCATGCAAGCCGAGAGATGGCCCCGCCACAAGTGTATGTGTGGATCTTACACAGTGTGACCATGGGAGCGTCTGCTACTTTACGCACAAGTTCGTGATAACCATGCTAACAACACCGTCAAAAATAGGGGTAGCGAGGTATTGTGTGAAAGTGACAATGAGGTGACTTTTCCGGAATGTTTTTATGAGACGCGCACTGCAATTGGAAGCAGTCTTTGATGTTAACATGCGAGCAAAGTGCGAAAGGTAATGTTTCTCATCGTTATCTACTGAAGTTTTCAACTTTGAAAACTCATAACTTCACTTTTCGTGCACCAATTTTTATTATTTTTTCGTCTCAGTAATCATCACTACATGCGTTATGGTTCTAAATAAAGATGTTCTAAATGTGTTCGAAGGCCCCTTTGATGTCCCTTAAACCCTTTCGCAACCACAGAAAAAAACTTGCCAGAATGACTGAACAATTTTTTTCACTCACCATGTAGAGATTTTATTCTGGATAAAACGTTACTATTACTTCAGTGAACTAACTTTTCTGTTTCTTATTTTGTACAAAGCTACCGCATGCATCGTACCAGAGCAGGTAATGCAATGGAAGGCGAGACACAGCAGGAAAAGGAAGAATAAACTCAGACAAGTGGGGCCCTCTTGCATCAATAAACACAACTACTGTGGATAGTTGTCATTGATTCCACATTGCTGATGAGTGAAGTCATCAGCTGTCTTACTTTAAGAAAATATCATGATGACTATACTCGTCAATGGTCGCAAAAAGTTCAAAGAAGCTATATCTGGAACAGTGATACAACACAATCACTCTCTTCCATTGTGATTACTGTGACATGAGTATAGTTATGTGTAATGTTAGCAGACTATGAAGTGCAGTGCCAGCCCATGGCAGCACCCAGTGGCAAGAAGCACATGTCAACCAAACACTGCTGTAAATTTCTGTTGACTATTACATAATAGTATGCCATATGCTGTTTGACATCAAACAACAGGTCTGAAGAGAGTGAGCACATGTTTCTGTATGAAAAAATGGCAGCTTTGCCCTGTGCCTCTCAACTCTTTTTACTGCGCATGACAGCAAGATTTGGCTGAGATGTAAACAGCAATGCCCGACATCCACAGCATGTGCTCTCTTACAAAACCCAAGGGGTGGTTCATGACTCCTTTAAAAACAACTTCTCTTTATTTTATTGTTTCTTGTACTGTGTCATCTGTGCTTAGCAAATAATAATGTGTACGCACCAGTACAAGCAGTGTCTTAGCATGCTGTCCCACTAAATCGTTTCTCAAGATATACCAAACCTAGCACCTGTTTGTAGATATTGCTGCTTTGATGAGTGAACATCACCAAGTGTTTTGGTGTTTGCTCACTTCCAATGAAAGGCACAGTGCTTAATATCTTTATGCTGCCACAAGAACTATTGCGATGCAGGTGAGCTTAAAAACCAAATGTACAATTTTTGTGATGGTGAGCGCTGATCGTTGCACCAAACGTGCCAATTACCACCAAAGTCGCACTGCTTCAAGCTTTCAGCCAACAGCCAAGACAACGAATGCCATTATCTGGAAGGTCATAGGTTTGCACTGTCTTAGGAACACGAACGTCGTTCAGCACAGCTTGGACTGTAACTATGCCTAAAACAATAAGGTAGAAAAGCAGCTTCATAAGCAGTAAGCTTCATGCTAGTCAAATATTAGCCAAATCAAAATAATGCAATTTCAATGGCATGGAAATGACAGCAACTTGCTAGCAGAAACAAGTAAAAGCCGAGAATTCACTACCATCAGCACACTCCTGTAATCTATGCTGTGCACAAGATTGCAAGCACATAAAACAAGAACTTTCACATAATTTTGCAGCCTGGAGGCTTCAGGTGAGACAATAATTTGGCCAGAAACGCTAATTTTTCTTTACTTTATGCTGCTTCCTGATTGGACACACATAATTCCATTTGTCAAGGTTGAATTATATAACAACAGCATTGCTGAAGGTGTGAACTGGTAGGTCATGCCTGAAGCATGATTACTCATGTACTATAAATCTTGCCACGAATTTTAACATCTTTGACTTCTTTATCTTTATTTATTTACCCTCAAGGCCTTTCGGCATTACAGACGGGAGTGTGTTACATAAGGAAAAAAGGGACTGCAGTAATAACAAAGGAACACAATCCATAATTATTACCATATTCGCTAATCATACAATATGAGCTGAGTATGACAAATATCGCACTCAACAGGAACATAAATAATTAACAGATGCGTGAATTTTGTTGCTTATAACGTATAAGCTGGGTAGATGAAATACTGTGATGTATGAAAAACTGCAGGTTCATTTGAAATGAGATGATGAGATTTACAGGTGCAGTATTATAATATGCCATAAAAAATTGTTCAGGTGACATTAGTTCACACAAATGCTTATTACTGTACAATGTTATGTAATGCTTTGGATATGTTCTAATTGTTAATAATACTGACAATATCAGCCGGGAGGTCATTTCAATCATGTGATCTACGAGGTATAAATTATTTTGAAAAACGTGGTGTTAAACACACAAATTCTAACTTTGTGTTGATTATCAATGCGGTGAGATAAGTAAGTAATATGGTCATGACATAAATTCCAGATGTAATGTGGGATGGTGATACAACTTACAAAAGAATGATAAGCGAAAGACCTTACGTCGTGAAGCTAGTGATTCGAGATGCTCATGAGGTTTCATTAAAGATGTGCTGGATGTTCGGTGTAGTCCCATAGAATAAATCGACTAGAGTTATTTTGGATTAGTTCAATGGATTGAATAAGGTTGTGGTGATAAGGATCACATATAGTTGAAGCATACTCTGCTTTAAATAAAGGTGGACTTTGAAAAGTCTACAGAAAAGCAGGCTATCTTTTTAGCAGAACTGTAGGCTCTCTGCTACCTTGTATGGATGAGAAATTACACAATATCTACAGTTGTCTCACAGGTAATATTTAATCGCAACCTTTAAAGGTGTTGCAGGGCACCTTTAGAAGAATATACAGTGTTTTTTTTAACCAATGCAGATTGTTTATAAATGTCCTTAAGGCTCCTGCTGTTTTCACACACGAACTTCATGTCGAGGAGGAACTCTTTTGCTGCAGTTAAGAAGACACTATAGCGACTAATTAACAAAAATTTATGAATTAATCTTCAAAAATTTACATGAGGGCAAGTGTTTATATATTACAGTTGTACATAGAATAAGATATTCATCATCAAACTCGATGGGCGAAATCAAAAGTTATCACGCAAGGCATGCATAAAGTACGACCATTCTACTATCGTTCCACAGCGGTTTTGTGTGAAGAACAACAGGAGCCTAAGTGTGATACGATTCTTTAAAACTTCTGTATTCATTTAAAAAAACACCATATATGTATTGGTAAAAAAATTGCAGTCACGCCTAAAGGCACAGCACTGGAACAGCAATATTCATCCTGGCATTCATAGCACAAACATGAGAATAAACAATGCAAACTCCATTCCTCCAAATATACCAAAATAGATGCCTCAAGCTTGGCCAGAACTCGACTGCTAATTTCAAAGTGCTATGCTGCCAAGGGACATGACAGTTTTTTTTGCCTCTCTATACTCATCATTGGATGCTTTACCACTAATCCCTTAATCTTCTGAGTGCACCATTTAACATATTTTCATGTGACTCCACAACTATGAAACAAAATGTAAGGCCATCAAGCAAGAGTATCAAGCAAAAACTTCAGTATGCAACGATCTTGAAGTCAGAACATGATAGCCTTGTGGCTACCTCAGCATGCTAAAAGAACAGGAGACACTGAGGCAGTCACGTAGTTAGCAGCTGAATGTGAACACTTTTAGACATAAAGTAAAATGAAAGGCAGTGACACCTGTGGGACGCCTCTTCCTCCTTGGCCCTCGGACACGGTTACCGTCCCATGAACCACGCCAGTACACTTTGTCGCGAATCTCTGCCGATCGCTGCCGCAGCATTATGCGAGCCCCCTGTGATGCAGATAGTGCAAATAGCCATAAACAGCTTTTTCTTCTCATAAAATCTAGCACTGTTTTCTTGACAATACAAATGTGAAGTTTCTACACTTTGAAATGAGTACCGGACAATAAAGTCGTAGAAAATACCATAAGTTCTAATGCAACAAGTAAATGGATAACAAAGGAAAGTACAAAACCTGCGAAATGCACATATATACCACCTAAAGTGGACGGAAGGATGACCTCTGCCGTAGCTCAGTGGTAGAGCATCGGATGCATTATTTGAAGTTCACAAGTTCAGATCCTGCCGGCGGCAAGTTATTTTTTCGTCCACTTTTCCTTCTTCACATTTACATTACAAATACTTCCAATATCACCATCTATAGTTCCTTGGCATTACTATCTGTTAGTTCTCACTTATGATGCATCTAACAAAGAAAACATACCCTTTAATTCGCACTTCCTTCCTTCATTCATAGCATGGATCTCATTTTGGTTTACTTAGTGCCTTCAGGTAGTATGTGAGAGATTATCAGTTGGCTTTCAACTTGTATAAAATCACGAGCTACATGATGCAAGCAGGCACACAGAGTGTTCCCACTCGCCGCAATGGCAACAGGCAGTGCTGACTGACTGATCCTCCCATGTTTAAATGCATATATACAAACCCCACAAAGTGAACAGAGGGATGACCGTCACAGTAGCTCAGTGGTAGAGCATCAAATGCGTTATTCAAAAGTCGTAAGTTCGGATCCTGCCGGTGACAAGTAATCTTTTTGTCTACTTTTCTTCCTTGACATTCACAATATAACTTCTTCTAATAACATCTCAGTAGTTACTATGATGACGGGGCCCGTCAAAGCAGTAGTATAAATAAAGTGAGGTAGCCCATCTGTGTAGTTAAATCGTAACAGTGAGGGGGCCCATCATAATAGCGATGTAGCTATAGTGATGGGCCTCGTCATCGTAGTGAAATAATAAAAATGAGGGGCCCGTTACCGTAAATTTACCGTGTCGTTCTGGTGGCGTACTGGGTTGACGCCCAGTTAGCGATCGTGCCGCAGGTCGTCAGTTCGAATACCCGTTTTGGTATTTATTTACTTTTTTTCTTTGTTCAGGTAATGTGTTAACATTGACGTTACTACTGTGAAGGAGTCGTAACTGTTTTTTTGGAAGAAAATTTTGTCGCTATTCAAGCTGGTTGTTAGACAGCCCTACTGCATTTATTTATCGAGGCGCAGTGGGTACATTGTTGGTGTGCAACATGGTGCGTTGTCGGTGTGCGACTTCGGTTCGAATCGCGCTGACCAACTAAATTTTTCTCTTTCTTTCCTGCTTACAATATTGTTTTGAGTAATGTTGCCTATTTTAAAGATAGAATCGCACTGGTCAATATCCTACAGTGGAGTGATGGAAGGAGCCGCTGGCCAGTGAGAACCTGGACGATCAGCTGATTGAGTCGACGTTTTTGCTGACAGACCCGGCTCACTGAGTGGTAGCCGCCGGCTGCGGAGCCCTGGTCTAAGCTTCCCGCACCGGGAAATCATCCGCTGAAGAACTGCAAGTATGGCAAGTTTTCACCACCACCATCAAAACCGCGTGCACAGATGTACACTATCGTATCGAGGCAAATGATACAACTGTAACGCTACAATTGTGAGGTGGTCCATTTTAGTAACACTGCTTATAGTGACGGGCCTCAACATAAAGCTGCTGAGCTGCGCTCTTACTGAAGTGATTGAGGAAGTTTTATAGTTTTATTATTGTTGCACATTTGTTTTATCAACTCGGTCACACCAAGTGGTTTACCCAAGCCCGCAGCTGCACCAGCCAGAACTTGCACATTAAAGCAACCATATGGCCGGTACACCCCCACGCCTTTGCCGCTTCCACATTTTAATCGCCGAGAACGACACGGAAGACGTTTTGCTCCCGCAGGACAAGCGTCGTCTCGAGATGACAAGACAGCTACAGAGGGCACACCACCGTGCGAGTATCTACCGCACCGTAGAGAGCTCGAATGTCTATCTACGTTTGCACAGCACAAAGCACATAATTATGAGATGAAAGTGATGTGCATATCCCCATGTTTAAACAAGCCGATTCAATCACATGAGGTCTGCGTGTGCGATTTCACGCGAAGTAGGCCCGAAGTCAGAACCACATGTATTTTGGTCATATTTGCTGTGGTGTGGGACTTACTGAAGCATATTGTCCAACCACACAGCCATCAGGCTTGGAACAAATTTCATGTTGACCTGCACAACGTTTGGCATTGGCCATATGTCTCCTTCAAACTGTGACTCGAAAAATACGGGGAACAGATTAATTTGGTAACATCAAACTGTGTGCAACAATTCATTAGTTAGAGATGTGGTATGAATGCAAAGGGATAGAAACCCTGCCAGGGGTGGTTGTTCAATGCGATAATAAAGTTAATTTGTATGCACACAACAAAATCTGCTCACCCAGCGTAGTATCAATAATAAATCATAGAATAAAATTCTTCATTCCACGTGGATGTGAAATAAGGCTGATAATTAAATGCTCGATGAATAAACATGATTGTTATTTACAAAGAAGTAAGAATACTTGAAACTATACTGAAAGCTGAAAATCAAAAGAGAGAGAGAAGCGATTCGAATCGAAATCGAACACCAACGACACTGTGCCACGAAATCCACGAGGTAAGTTGTATAACCGACAGAAACAGCACATAATTTTTAAAGAAAAGCTAAATTACAACTCCTTTTGAGTAGTAATGCAAATCTTGAAGAATTACCTTAAAAAATGAAAAAAGTATATAACAAAACAGGAATTCTAACTGACGACCTGCGGTAGGATTGTTTCTCCAATGCGTCAACTAACATTGCCACCAGAACAGCGAAGTGGCAGCATCTAAAACTACTACAAATTTAAGACATTGGGAAACCGCAATTTTCCTATTTCACTACAGTGACCCGCCCCATCACCGTAGTCATTGCTTTACTGTGACGGGGCCCGTCGCTATAGCTGCATCGCTTACGGGCCCCCTCACTGTTACATTTCACTACGTTGACGGGCCCCCATCAACGTAATCGCAATTACACTGCACTGATGGGCCCCCTGACTCTAAGGACAGCACTGCATTGACGAGCCCCGTCACCATAGCCACTGCCTAACATCTCCTATACGTCTCTTGGTATTATTTACTTTTTGTTCTCAATAATGTTGTTTCTAACAAAAAAAAACTAGCCCATCAATTTACACTTGTTTCCGTAAAAATGTTTGAATATATCTTGTCATGCAAGTTGGCCTCCAAGAATGAACGAGTGCAAAAATTTATATCGCAATGAATTACCCTCCTCTAATATTACACCGAGAGTTAGTACCATGTAAGTAATTTTTATGCTGGTAGTAGTCATGACATGGTTAATAATTTTATGCAATTGAGTTAAAAACATGAACATCAGAACATTATGGCTGAAATAATTAACAAATGTTAAGCAGCAATGAGACTAACACTTCAGTGGCAGTGCTCATAAAAAATGCACTTTTAATTATTAGTCCTACACCAGTGCATGAGTGTAGCATGCTTGCTTGGCAGGTAGGTGTGTAGCATGCAGTTCTACCTTCAAGTGGAAGTAGCCATGACTACAGACGTAAGTGCTGGTGATTATGAGCAAGTGGAAACTTGGATGCGCGTGAATGACTGAAACTACTAGCAATAGAAAGTGAGATGAATGAGGGCTTGGTGCAAGTAGACACTTACACAAACATGAATGACTATTTTTGTGGATGAGTAAATAAACATGCATAAGTCCAAATTAAAACATGAGGGGATGTCTAACATGAGTAGGTACATTCGAGTGTGAGCAGGCAGAAGTACAAGTGAGTTGACATGACTACGACCATAAGAACACCCATATTAGTAAATACCAATATTTCTATAATAACTTACAAGTGCTTCAAGACGACAGGTGCACCCTAATATATGAACATTATACAAAAATGCAATAAGCCCTATACCTGTGGGATCTTATAACTAATCATTAGCAGCAGTTGTCACCATCAAGATATTTGAACCCTTTGTTTCCTGGCATCCACATATGTGGGCAAAACATATGTGAGTAGTGGGATTGGGCTATAGCTAATGCACAACCTTAAAAACTGGTTTGAACTGTTGGCATTACTTCAGCATTTCATAAAAAACATCTATATACATGTGAACTCCTATGAAGAAACAGTGGCAAAAGCGCACAGAAGAATGCTGTTCTTCTGAAGTCCCCTGTCAAGGTGTATGCCTACATTTTTCTATAAGCTCACCCGGAATTCGTAAGGTTTTATTAAATCATTCAGCATTATTTGAAAACAGGAAGGGTTTAGCTTATTGTTGCCTAAGTACAAGAAATTTGCAAGTTCAGTTTTTTCTGAGACATCTACCTTCGTGGATGGAAACCAGGCATACTGAGTTTGTTTAAGATGCTGACGAAATGCCGCATGGTAGTCGAACCAGCTTCACTGCCGTGCGGTTCAGCACAAATCATTATATGTAATTTTAGAAACTATGTTCATAATTTATCTGCTAATTTATCTACTTTATTCAGGACGCGAACTAAGTGATAAAGCACACATGCCATAGCTGCCACAATTTTCGAGGTGACTAGTGGAAATCAATGCACAGATTTGGAGAGCATCAATAATTAGAGTGTTTAAGGAGAGCCATCAACAAGCAAAGGCCTCTTGAACAATGCTACTGCTGATTATGAGAATATTCAGCTTGTACATAACCATGCATGCATGCATGGTAATGATCAACGAAGATAAAGATTAATATTTTGTGGAGTGAAGAGCTGTGAGCAAGCAAATGGCCCTTCAACAGTGATAATGATAGAGATAAAAGCTTTGAACATGACGATTAGGGTGACAATGAAGAATGGTAATGAAATTATTGAATCACAGCCATTAGCAAGTAGCCAAGTTAATGTTTATGGGGATGAATGTGCTGAAGTGATGATGAAGAAATTCATTATGTTTAGTCATGATGATAATGAATAATGTGTTGAAATGCTTATTAGCAAGCAAAGTTCCCATGTACGATAAAGGATGATCACCCCAAAGAAAATAGAGTTCTGGACGCTGGGAACATAGAACAAAAGCTAATTTGGCAGGTATTGGTTTATTCTCACTTCTGTATGTATGGTCATTGCATATACGAAAAAAATACTTGCGCAACTAGCTTGGCTGTGGGATACGAAGGGTCAAATTGGTTTGAAAAGTAAGCACGAGTGTGCATCTGAGTTGGCAGCACCTAGCGACATTGCTAGTGCTGCTAATCAAAACGTTAAATTTCCCAATACTAGTTGAACAAAAAGAACACTAACTTCTGCAAGTATGGCAGACCAACCACAACATTCTAAATATCACAATTTTTGGACAAAACCTGCTGCCCAAATCGCTCTGAAAGTGTGACAACACGACAATGTGGAGAGCCGATTCAGTAACTTGAATATATATGTCGTCTTTTTTTCCCTTACCTTATATCTTATTCAACCAGGATGATCTCCACACATATGTAATTTCATGCACCTTTCGCTGTATGTAAATCTGCAAAGCAAAAACAATGCAGCAGTGAACTACTTTTACTTTCCACCAGTGTACAACAATAAGTAGTGTCGCCAGTTGACTAGTTTGTAAAATGTAGAAAGGGTGACAGCAATAACCGTTAGATCTGCAAGAATTCACAGCCCCGGTCAAAAATTTTAGAGACCACGGGAGCACATGGCCCCAGAGCTTTTTTTTATGGCAGCTTGCAATGCTCGAGAGTGCATACCCCACACACGCACATCTTTTTACTTGCCAGTCAGCTCATTGCAGGCACTTACAGCAGTGAAAGTGCGGTTTCACGAAGGAAACGCCCAACCAATGCAGATTAAAAAAAGTGTGAAAGCTACTGATCAGAACAATATAAATGAATAATTATATTGTACCAGAACGATAAGGGAAGTTATTACAGTTAACTGAGAAATATAAGGTATTCTCTTTCAGGCGAGCAGCGAAATGCACACTACACTTTATAGCTGCCATGTTTACTATTTTGCAATATTTCTATTTTACACTAAAAAATAAATTACTTGTATTATGATTGCTCTTTGCACAAACTGCACTGGTTTCGCATATTTACTCCTGTTCTTAGCTCCCAGAGGCTATTAGTCAGGCTTGAATTCAGACATCAAACGTAATTTTGGCACAATTCTGTGTCACAACAAAGGGCTGCACTTCTGCATAGAAAAAGTGACCACAAAGTTTTTAGCTATTGATTATGATGTCTCTTTTAATCATGATGACTGAACTGGCATTTTTTCTTGATTGAGATGCCACAGCTATATTTCCTAAAGTAACACTAACCTCTAAAGTACAAAGAACATAGAGCTCCTGCATTCTCATCAATTAGTTTACGGTTGTAGGCAAGCTCTCATATACATACACATGAAACATTGTCGCAATTTTTTTTCCTTTGGCAGTTCTTGAGAAGCACTTCTGGTCGCAAACTATTCCAAACCAGCTTAAATGTGGTGACATATTACATGATGGCAATCTTCTTGTGCTATCATGCAGAGGCACCAAGTTAACAGAATGCACGAAAATACAACTGTCCATATGGTAATCCAGCTACAGCATGCTGTTCACTTGACAGGCTGCACGGGAATCACAAAACAAAAGGCCTCATGTTTTCTGTGTATGTGTGCATTAGAACAAGCCCAGTTTCACCAAACCATTTTAATCAAGCTAGTATTATCAGCATGACAAATAATGTAAAAATGTAGATAGTATAAATTATGAAGTTCAGTGATGGATGAGATAGCATGCCTTTGCCATAGTAATGTGCATTAAATAACGAGCGATTATTTACTTGTAATCAATTATATTATATTTTGAGAGCTTTGCGACTCACAAATCTCCAAGTTCTGTCAATCGCATACTCAAAAGTGATGCGGAAGTTTTCAGCATCTGAAAATAATGCATCTACACCACACAACACTTTCAGTCATCCCCCGATTTGGCATCATGGTTCCACATATTAAAACAAGAAAACTGAGGTGCCCAGTATTTATTTTCTGTAACATTTGTTCCCCCACTGGATACCACGACCTAATAACGAGCCCTCACTCCTCCCTTCAAGCTCTGAATTGGCTTTTTGAGGAGCACTCATTGTAAACTTGTGAAAAACTGCATATTCACAAATAAATTTTTACTTCTAACCCTTTTAGGAGCCCTTCTTGTGAGGATGCTAAATGTAAAAAAAAGTTTCTTTAATTATTCTGAAGCTTGGGGCAATAAAACTTTTGCTGTTTATATAGGTTTTTAAGCCGATTTCAAATATGCAATCAGTTTTATTGTAACTTGCATGCTTTTTCTTTAGTAACATGACAATGTGTAACATACAGATATTCTTGGACACACTTTTTCTACCACTTAATGTCCATGGTTATTAGTCATTAATGGCTCTTATTGCTCCAAATTAACTATAGAATGCAAAAAACAGGGAGGTTTGTACAGAACATTTTAATGAATAAGAAAAATTGTAATATGAAACGTCTCAAAATGCTCAGCATCCATACTAATTGTTTACCTTAAGTTCATTATAACTATATAAGTGATATCAGCTTTTCAAAGAAATAACTGCACTCATCACATGCTAAGGAGTTTGTGGAAACAATTTCATCCTGATCTGGGTTTGTCCTGATCTCGCCTTATCCAAACATGATGGCCAAACTCCATCATAACAGTTCAAGAATTATAGCTATTTTGAGTATGTGGCTTAGGTGAAATCATGCAAAATGCAATGGCAAGCGGCTAGGTGACCACATTTAGGATACTCTAGACAATAAGCTCTTTGAAGGCGATTTTAACCTACTTTGAGTTTACCTACAACCATTATTTTTTTTTTGTCATGAGGGTAGTAGTATCTCCCCTCAAGCTCTTTGTCAATGTACCTATTAAAAATGCTGAATAATTTTAGGCTGGACAATTCTTACTGAAAACCTCGCATGTGCATAGACACAAATTACCATGACCGAAATTTGAAAAAGGAGCAAGTTAGAAACATAGCAAACAAATATTTTAAAAATTCAACAGTCATAGAGCTCATAGAGGGCAACAAAGATAAGTAACGTCACTTGTGCAGGGGTGCAACACCTGAAATACAATTTGGAGCAATTTCACAGCAGCAAAATGTTACTTTTCGAGCACAGGGAGCAGGTTATGGGAGAAAAAACATGCATTATTTAACATAAAATACCAAACTTGGAGCAGTATTAAAAAGGCTTATGCCTAAAAATTGTATAAACCATTGAACATCACCTAAACCGTGCAGTGTGAACATGAGCACTGTTATTGTAAGAAAAGTAGTATTTTAAGCCACCCTACAGAGAAAATAATGATAATGTGCACATTAGCATTTGCTCCGCCTTTCAAATCATTTGAGGCACACTGTGAATTTAAATACAGATATGCCAAGCTCACAACCAGGGAATTGAGAGATTCGTAAGGCCGAAGAGTAGAGGTGGCGAAAAAAAAACTGGCACACCATTTCTTTTTTTTTGTGTGGAAGTACACTGCTCCAAATGATTGCCAGTAGCTCATTTACACATCAGTGATTATACTGGTACTTGGAATTATGCGGTGTACAAACGCCGTATGAACAAAATGTGCAGTGCCGCAGAGCACCGGTGTGCTGTGGAAAAAATGGCTTAAGTAGCATTCTCTGCATGAGTTGGAACCAAAGCCAAGATATTTTCTAGTCACTACACACCCCCCCCCCCGTTACCCTTGTCTTCTTTTTTTTTTTTTTTTTTTTTTTTGTCGACAGTGTTAGGTGCCGCTTTGGCTCACTTGCAAGGCGCATTCGATCAGGGAACGTAACAACGGCGTGCCCGTTGGTCCTTTGATGATACCGGATATCTATCACCAGAATCGTGGCCGGGACGACACAACTTTATGATCAAAAGAGAACTGTTTTATGTGCACTGCATATTAAATCAACTTGGTCACTGGCAACACCAGCGTTCGCCGCACGTTGAGCATAACCTTCCCGCTTTAGTTCCTAAGAAGCCATAGCCGCCTTTCAGGCTAGGAAATTCACATTTCTTGTGAAGTGTTGATGGCTACAGGAATGCGTTTTTGTCTTGAAGTTTCATCGTCCTGCTGACAGGTATCCGCTGCAATCAGTGAACCGATGGGCACTTAGCTTTGTTACTTTATCTGGTCGATTGCGAGAATATTTTATTCTAGGCACTATACATATAGGGTCTGCGGGCTTTGATTGATGGTGCAAACTGCGGGGGGCCAACGTGGCCTGTATTTCATTCTCGTCAAAATTAGCACACCTGAGAAGATTTTGAGCTGGCTGGGCATTTTGGTGCCGTGTGGTGCAATTCCAGCAACTTTACGATTTTGGCACAGCTGGGTGCAACAATAGAGAATTGTACCAAATTGGTGCAATTGGTGCAGCTTTGCACCCGTGCTAGCGGACAGTATTTGGAACAAGTAGAAAATTGGTGCCAAAGCACCACTACAATAAGCTCTGAACAATTTCAGTAACTATAGGTGCAAGCTGGAATGTGCTACCAAACTCTAAGTCACACCGAGCGAGCTGTAGGATTCTCAAGGTACAAGCCACATCGTAATAAGCCAAAGCATACCCAAATAAAACTTCATCAACCTCAGATGCCTGATTCAGAAGACATACACATCCACTTTTTCTTTTCACATTCATTCTCTGCAGCTACAGCTATAAGAGTGATATTCTACTTAACACATACTAATATGAAAGATCAACAGTAACTGAAACTGTCAATTTGAAGTACTTCAATACCCTCATTTAACGTTTTTAAAGAAGAGTGATAAAAAATGTTTCACCACATATTTTCGAAAGTGGCTTCCAAAGACAGTGCACGCTTTCTCCAATGCGATGATTACTCAGGCACGATGGACAAAGGTTTCCTGCAGCACACAAGAAACATGCAATGCAGTTAAAATGTTAAAAACATAACTAGGCACAGACTGCACAAGTGTTAAGGCAGCTACACAAAGGCTGGAGTTTAAAAAATAGCTTCCATGCAGCTAAACTTGGTTATTATGACAAGGCATATGTACAATCCGCAATTCATTTAAGCTTTAGGGAAAAACAAACAAATGAGTGATGAGCACCTTATCAAGCCCGTATCTGCTTACTCAATGTTTCGTTGAGCCGGCTGATATACTGCCCCAACATTTGAAGTGTCAGAAAAAGGCATTCCTCAATAAACCATTTGCAAAAATCTGCAAGACTGCTTTCCTGCAAGGTAGTTTTTTAACCAAGAAGTTTCGTTCACAAATTGCTTTTCTTGCTCATAGTGGTTTTGTCATTCCCAATGCCAGTGAAAGTACGCGAACGCCAAAATATGACTTCTGTCCCCATTAATTGCCCCATCTTGTACAAACCATCAGCCTTAGCGTAGTGGACGAGGCACCTGTTTCGTAATAAAGGGGGGGGAGACTAATGCCCAATGAGCATATCAGATAAATGTGCAATGAGCATATCAGATAAATGTGCAATGAGCATATCAGATAGGCTTTTACAGATAGGCTGCATACTTCATATCCAATGGACACCGTTTATACTAATTCCATCCAGGATTCATGATAAGGTTTCACCTTAGTAAGATGCACAGACCTACACAGCAAAGAGGGGAGTATGAAAATTCTGACAAAGTAAGCTCGCCAAGTTCTCTTTCGTTAAATTTTGAAGTTCTATTTTTGAGCTTTACTAAATATAGCGCACGAGCTCCCAACAGACACTCTAGAGAATGCATTAGAAGCCTTTTACGGGAAAAAAAAATAATGCTCACCCGAAATGCTCGCTGAAGTTTCAGTTGCGAAACAAGTACACGAGAAACTCCATCAGCCTCAGCATGCATAACAGTTTTGAGAGGTGCAATGCATTCTCCTATTTTTATTGAGAAATATAACTGTCATAAAGTAAGTACTCACGAATCAGACTATAATAATATAAGAGAAAAACAAAAAATATAGAACATGGTCACAAAATTTCCAGAGGCATATATGGCAAAAAATTGCAGTAATATTACTCAGCTTCAGACATCTTATACAGATACCTCTGCCTAAAATGTCAACAAAATTTGTTCTTCAAACTAGAAATGGTACTTTCAGAATAAACATTCTAAGGCCACTCAGACGCCATTCTGCGAATTTCTGAAGTCTCCACCTTGACCCCGAAAAATTTTTATCTTCAAAATATTCTAAAAATTCAGTGTTTTCAATTCAGTATGTCAGAATGTCATTTTTTATATCGAGTACATTTTCGATGGTCGCCAAAATGCCTGGCACGTTTTGTATAGAATGACTATCAATCAAGATTTATAAGCAAGATTTATAAGCAGGCCCAATGATTCACTCAGGTTCATTTGGGAAAACACCATAGGGTGTATCTACTAAAGAGGATATACAAAGGCCTAAATACATATTACTTTTTTTGCTTGCCATCAAAATCACATAAAAAATGTTACTTGATCAACTACAACCATATCAGAACAAAATAGCTGCACATAATCTGCAAGTGTGCCAGTTGATGTGGGATCCATAGTGTCAACCAAAGAGAAATGTCGTATCACGGGATGAAAGAATGCTTGTGGGACTGAAGCTTGAAGAATAAAGTTAGGGACCACACAAAGTGCAGTGAAACAAAAAAATTAGAAGCGTGGCACGTCCGGAAGACTGCAGAATAGGTAAAAGAACAAGCAGGAATAGCAGATATTCTAGTTGACATTAAGCAATAGAAAAGGCTTTGGACTGGACATGTACTGGATCAAACTGATTGTCAGTGAAGCAACAGATTGGCAAGAGCAGCCGAGGACAGCGGGGAGTTAGATGGAAAGACGAAATGAAGTAGTTCATAGGGATATAATGGCAGTTGCTTGGGCATAAATGGGTAAATTGGAAATCATTAGTAGAGGCCTTCGTCCTGCAGTAAGTGTATAATCGGCCAATGAATGACTGCTGTCAGCTGTGCTTCAGCATAATTTTCATGAAAAATTGTTGCGCCTGATGTTTTCCACATTTTACAGTCAAAATATTAGTGAACCTCATAGATCTATATGCCAACTAGCACTCTTGCCTATTCCTTCTCAGCAGGTGAGAGACTAGACAGATAAACTATGCGCACTACTTCAATATACCCTAAGCTATGAAATGAGTGCCTACAGATTGGAAGATTACTTTCCAAGAGCCATACATAGCCATTGAAAAGGAATCTTCCAGTCTGCAGGCACTCGTTTTATAGTATAGGATATATTGAAGTCGTGTGCATGGTTGATCTGCCTTTCCTTCCACCTGTTCAGGGGGAATAGCAAGCTCTCAAAAATATGCAGCAGCTAGGCACATACGTGGCAAATTATATTGTAGGTACTAGACACAAAGTGGGATAGTACTGACAGTTGGATCAATGGGAGCATCAATTAATTGTAAAAGGTAGGTTATGCGAACAGCAAATAATCATAGAAAAGCCTTTAAATAAGTAAAGCGAGCTTGTATTTCCGAAGAAGGGCCGAATGTTCTAATGAAGAAACGAAAAAAAAAAACAGTGTTAGTCTAGCTCTATTGATTTGTCTGCTCATTCCCTCTACATGATTAGACCTATACGCGAACGAGTTCAAATCAGACTTCAAAGGATTGAACGCTCCGCGATGGCCGCTCTTAGCAGTAACTGCGCATGCAGCGCGACTAACTGGATTTTCACGCAGCAATACCGTAGCAATACTTTCCTGGTGTTCTGCAGCTCAAAATAAGCGTACTGCCACCAGACGATGGTAAAGTAGAAAACAACAAGCTATCGCTCCTCGGAGAAAAAGGTACGAGCAACTCACAGGCCTCTGGAGACTCGGGAAACCCCCCGTTTCATGACGACGTCCACGATGAAAGCCCGGAGACCGCGTGGTGCAATGCACGCGCTCGCGCGTGTCTTCTTCACCAGCTTGCGCGTGTCTTCTTCTTTTTCTCCCTCCTCAAGACGATGGTCAGCCTCGTTTTCTTCACAACGACCAATGCCACCGAATATCGAGACTGCGTCCCCTCGACCGAAATTGCTACGATCATTTCGGTCGAGAAGTGCGGTGGGGGAAGTAGCCTCGACTGTTGGTGGCACTGGTCGTCCAGACCTGCAGAAAAAGAAAGAATAAAAGAACTAAGAACGCTGTTGCGCCACATGAAGTATCTTTTGTTTCTCCCGAAGCTCTAACAAATTCATTTCAGACAGCCACGTCTGTAGGCCATCGAAAAGCGTTGGCTGCGACGGCTAATTATGTCGGGAATGAATTGGGGGCCCTAGGACAAAACGTTCCCGTCTTTGAAATATTGCACCTCTTTTTTTTCTTTTTTAACGCACAGCAAGGCGCGGCGATGACCATAAATAACACGAACACTTACTTAAATCAATTCCCTCTATCCACTACAAGAAATGTCACGCGTAAACCGAGTAAGATCTTTTCACGGCATTTGGCAGCAGATGCCGACGACACTGGAGTAAGCAGACGACGTCAGTCCAACTTGTGTCCCACTTCACAAAAAGCATCTCTTTCCGACTGCTCCTCGATATCGTAAAATCAACAGCGCTGCATAAACACATATTTAACGGGTTACTCGAAGCCCCAAAGCTACCACGACAGCTTGTCATACGGACGTTTCGAGGCGACGCGCGCAGCCGGAGCGCACTGTTGCCAGCGTGCGCTGCGTTACACACTAGGCGGCATAGCTTTCACCGACTAGCGTTGAGAATGGCGAGAAAATGCGGCGATCAAATTATTGGTCGGCGTTTTCGTGCCTTCCCTCAATGTTAAAATTTGTTGGCAACGTTTCCCGGTAATTCTTTCTACAAGTCGAATATCACTCGTTCTGCCTGTTGTTAGGGGCAGCACAGAACACCTAGGAGGCTAGGGGCAGTGTTTCCGTTCCCCCGGGGGTACAGTGCCACTGTAGCCTATTTATGCACGCGTTGTTGGGTTGTGTGTTGGTAGGCTTTCTGCAATCAACAGTGTGTTTGAAGTCCAACCTTTGCTGTCCAAGAAGACATCAAAAGTTGTTCTCCTTTGCTGTCTTCGCGTCTTTCGTTGGATTCCTCTTCCGAATATTATGAAGCAACTCACAGTGCAAGTTGTGTTAGTGATGTACTGTTTCGAACACCGTTGTGAAAAATCGGCATCTTGATTTAGTTAGTCGAATGAAGTCGAAGATAGAATGCGGGCGAAGGAAGGCGCAGATTACTCGGTTTGACTGTCTGGCGAGTGCATGACAAAGCGGAGGAAACATAAAACATTAATTATGTACTTAGTGTTTTATCCACATGCATTCATGTTGTGTGCTGTACTTCACACAAATTTATGGTGATTCTAATCTAGCCCAATGGTTAACCTTGCTGAACCTGCCAACTGGATCGTTTGTTTGATAGAGCATGCTTCATCTTTTGTGTTGATCGTCTCTTTCTCTCTTCATTAAAGATTCTGTTTTCCAATTCCTTAACGGACTTCTTTTAAACACGCGTGACACAAACAGCTGGCTATTGCTTGTTTATAAGCAACTATAAGCAACAACTTTCATACGCATTCAGTTCAGTTCAATACCTTAAAGGTCCCCCTTACTTGGAGGGGCATTACATAAGGGGGCTAGCTTCTACAGTAACTAGCGCCGATCGTCCCCTTTGAACTGTAAATGTTCCTTCACTCGATCGCTTTCACAATCGTATTGATTCTTATTCCAATACCAACTTTCCACACCTTTTATTAGTACATAATGTGTGAAAGGACATATGTAGACTTGATTGTCAGCCGGAATATGTTGGCATATGTCATCGCCAAACACCGCCGTTGGCGCTGGTATCGACGTGTATTCGCTTAATTCGGTGAGCTTGAAATTATTTTAAAATTAACGTTTATTTTGAGTCCAACACTACTTTCCTACGTTATTAGAGTACTGAACAAGTTTTACAGCGAAAGCTGTTATTAGATCACAACTCGGGTTACGCGCAGTTGTCCGCCGCCGGTGTCCGTAACCACATCCCACAAAATTAGAAAAAAAAGAACCTAGCACCCATGACACAGTAAGGCTTGAAACCGGGTCGATCCATTCTCCCATTGAGCCACACCGGTGCTTGAAACTTCTTGACAAACTTGCCTCAGGCAGGCTTGATTGATGTCGGCAAAGCAATCGTGTAAATACGACTTATAAAGCGTTTTGAAACAGCGCAAGAACAACCAGTCGCCGCACAATGCGAGTAACGTAACGAGTGGGTCGTCCTATGCCAATACAACATATTGTTCTTGTTCAGCTTTTAACTGTGGCACATATCCACGTCTGGCATAATTCCTCATCGTCGTCAGCCAGTGTATGAACAATTGGCACTAAATTCCTTGCAAGTGTTATCAGATAACACGCTTCTCAGAAAAAAATGACAAAAATAGCATTGAGAATGCCTGCCTACTACCCTAAAACTTTTATTATTATTGCCGTAGTGGGTATCAAGCAAGTGTGCTCGCAGCAGTTACGCAAAGTGTGTTTAGAAACGGATTTGAAAGGCCGCGCTCTTCTAGCTTTCGCTGTTACTGTGCTGCGCCTTCAGCGCCGGCCTGGCGTTTTTCCAGTTCCAGTTATTTAACTGTAACCGGCAGGCGAACCGACTGCGATGCGTTTACGAGAGGGTAGAATGAAGAAAGGACCAACAATTTACTGGTGACAGAATATACTTTCAGAGAAAGCCAGGTTTACTAAAAAAAATTTAAACAACGCACCCAAAAACACATTGGTGGCGGCGGCGCGCCGATCAGTTGGCGTTGGTGGCGTAGCAAAAATTGTTGGCGGCGGCGCGCATACGTCTCGGCGCACACCTCTAGTTTAACCCAACGTTCTAGTAACGTTGCTTTAACCCATAGTCTGTATATTGACTTTATGCTATGTACTAAAGGTGTTTGTTCTAGTAAACTGCATCTCTACTTTACCTTTCTTGAAGTGGCCAGACTTTTAAATATAAATTGTGTTGCCAAATTTTTGTGTTAACAAAAATACAATATTGTAGTGTTTCAAGTTTTTCAGAATGTTTGTTATTTTATCAAAAATAACATATTGTACCTTACATATTATTGTTTTAACGTAAATAATGTTTTAATGTTGCCTAACTTTAAGTGTCCCTAAAGTACAGTGTTGCCTAGTTTTTTTTATTTTGTAATGCACAAATTTGTGCGTGTTTTAAGATGTATTTATCTGTTGGTAGGTCAATCAATTTTTCCGCCTCGATAATTGTTTTTTTTTACGTTGCGTTATGTCAAGAGTGAAATGACATTGCATTGTATGCAAGTGTTGCTACGCTCGCCCAAACTGGCTAGACAATGTTTTTGTCGGTTGTTGTTTGTCGCGTGTCAATCATGCTAGCAAGTCATGCTGTCATTCCCCAATCCTCCTTCCCACGCACCGTTTATACTTACTGCCCTCCGGTTATTTTGTTCATTATTCCAATAAACTTATTTGCAAGCTACTTTGTGCTTTTGCGACTTTTATCCCAAAGTCCTTCTATTTTGTTACGCCCCTATTTTCCTGTGGTGCTGGGCCGTGTGACGTGCTGCTGCAAAAAAGCGTCATTTCATTGCATAGGTGTTAACTTTTTTTCTTTTCTGATACTCGAATTCTCGTAAGCAGCCTTCACTGAAGAGCACACAGGAGAAACGCTAATTGAATTAGCAACGACGAAATAAATTTTATTTTCATCGCAGGTTTCATATAGCACTATCAGATCACTGTCGCGCTAATAAAACCCTGCTGTCGAACTTTTTTCAGCGCGATATCTCTTGTAACTTGAGACGCGTCCCAGCAGTTCTCTCTCCAAGTTTTGAGCTCAAGCTTAGCTTTTTCTGCTTGTCTTCGTCTTTCACGAACACTTGCAGCAAGACAGTATGCGCACTCTGAACGAAAATGAGCGCCCAAGAGGCCTTTGTGTGGGACCCAAGTAAGGTATATTTTAGGGAACTCAGGAAAGCCTTTGAACGACTCGTTAGGGAATTGCGCATGTCATTTTCCCCTAGCAACAGGCAGAATAAGTGATATTCGACTTGTAGGAAGAATGACCAGGAAACGTTGCCAATAATTGTTAACTGTGAGGGAAGGCACGAAAACGCCAATCAAAAATTTGATCGCCGCATTTTCTCGGCATTCTCAACGCTAGTCGGTGAAAGCTATTCCGCCAAGTGTGTAACGCAGCCGTGCACGCCGGCAACAGTGCGCTCCGGCTGCGCGCGTCGCCTCGAAACACGGAGGAAGGAAAAGGTAAGGAGAGGCCCTGACGTCACTCGTTGTGAAGCCGCAATGAAGCCGGAAGTCGGCCATATTGAGTAGGCAAATTCTCCTCTCTTGTTTACATATGAATGCGAAGCAGAAGGCGCGACTCCCTCTCCGGCTCGGAAAGCACGTGGGCTGCGCAGCGCGTGTGTCGTGACGATCCGAAACTAATAGAACTGGGCTCATCACTCAGAGCCAGCGGGACACCTTCAGCGAAATCGCTTTGTCCGAGTAATAACAAAGAGTAACAGCTCGCTGACAACGAAGCAACTACGAAAGAACGCGCGCTAGATGCACTGATAACGGCGAGTGCTTTCACGTCATTAATTCAGCAACTGTACAGACAACACGATCGGTCGTGCACCTTCTACGGTTGCATTCCACCACGCGACTGACGCAGCGTCCTGCCACTGTGTCCGTGTTCCGCGTGAAACTCACCTGCATCAGCATTCTGCGACCGTGGTGACTTTGAGCATGGTGCTAGTGACAGTTGAACGTGGTTGCTGTTACGTTGAGATTACATGCAATGCTGGTGGAGAGCGTACCAAGCGGAACAGAAAAGGTGTTTTAATACGCACATGCAAGTTGTTACTGTACACACACAACACGAAACTACGTATGTGCACATGGTGCTCACGGCGTCTTGCTGGGCTCAACAGCGTCGTCCGTTGTCACAAGCAGGAGCACTGCTCAACCGTCACTGACCTGCAAGGCGTTCGTCGTCATTCAGCTTCGTCATGGTGCCCAACGCCATTTCGCTGAACACTAACTGCTTCATCCGCGTCATCCGCCGCACGACACATGGATATGCACTTGTTCTACGCACTGTTGAACCCCGTGATGGACAAAGAGATTTGTAAACGTTGCTAAGAGTAATGTAACAGCCAGACGAACACTGCGTAACCAATAACGCGGCGCAGAGCACAGATATTGTCCGCCACGGCTCAGCACGAGACCTGGGGAGGCACACATTTTGCCGCCAGCCGCGGCCGCTCACTGCTAGACCAGCTTCACTGCACAACACGTAACCATAACAACGCCGCCGTTGTGCCTACTGAATATGGCCGCCATGATGTCATTTCCGCAACATTTTTTACGCCCTGCGCCGGCTGGGCATGCCCTCTCCTTACCTTTTTCCTTCCTCCGTGCCTCGAAACGTCCGCATGACAAGCGGTCGTGGTAGCTTTCGGGCTTCGAGTAACCCGTTAAATATGTGCTTATGCAGCGTTGTTGATTTTACGTTATCGACGAGCAGTCGGAAAGAGATGCTTTTTGTGAAGTGGGATACAGGTTGGAGTGACGTCGTCTGCTTACTCCAGTGTCGTCGGCATCTGCTGCCAAATGCC